GCAGCCTCTGTGTTTCCCAGGGTTCCCCAGAGGAGCTGGTTTAAGGCATTTAGACAACAGCATTACCCAGTTCTGCTTTTCCATATCCAGGCATCTGTGAGAGCAGGACTGGGGTGGCCTGCTTGATTTATAAATCTTTATTTCAAACAGAGATTTAAAGATTTAGTATTTCTGGGGTTCAAGGGGCTGAACCTGCAGGAATAACTTCTGATTCCATTTGCTTCTGCTAGTGCTAAAATTTGCCCGAAGCTGCTTTTAATGGTAAGTCATCCCCGTTATTCTTGAAGGGTCTGTGATGTGAGTAGAGATATGAAAATTCCCAGGAAAGGGCATTTCAAGTTCTGTACTAACCTTCTATAACTTCAGCTGTGTTATTTTTAAAGGAACTTTGCCCGCCTATGCACCATTTTCTCTAGGAATGTAAAAATCCAGCAACCAGCACAAAAGCCATTCACATTAGCAGCCTGCTTGTGAATTTTAATTAACAGGAAATGCCACTCACACATTGAAATTCAACATCCAGAATATCTCTGCTTTGCTCTTTTGATGTTCCCCATCCAACCCTAGATCGACATCCACATGTTCTCCTGAGACACTCGGAGGAAAATCGTTCTGGTTTATTTACAGTAGGAAAGCATTTTGTAGTATCTTTTATCCCAGAAGCATTCGAGTTGCTTTACAAGCTGTTCACACAGAAGAGCTGCTATGTGGGTCTTTGCTGTGGTGAGTGTTTCTGGGCTGTGCTCAGCCAATTTGCACCCAGCAGCGATGTTGGGAGTTCAGGAGAGAAAGGGAAAGATTCCTGAAACAAAAGAAAGCCTGGCATGATAGAGGAAATTCAGCTGCTGCAGCCTAGATAGCCTAAATTCCCTTATCACATTTATCCCCCATCAGTCACTGAAAAGATATTGCTGGGATTCTTCTATACTTGTATAGTAGAAACCTAATAAGACATGACCTGGCTCTGTATCATCATAAGTTGTTTGTTTGCATGTGATCTTAACAAGGAAAAATCACTACTGATGGGTTAATCTTTCCCACATCCTTAATTTCTTGGTTTGGCAGAATCATGTGATCACCAGGTGCTGATGATATTGCCGTGAGGAAATATCTTCAGCCTTAAATCATCCTATATCTAGCCCTCCATTCATCATCTTTATTTCCTTAGGCTCTATAGTTCATGTACCCCACATTCTACCTGTGATTCAGCTGCTCCTTTACGTTGCACCCCTTCCCATCATCGTCACCCTCAGGTTACGCTGTCACTACAGGTTGAACTTGATGGTGTCTTGGCAAGAGACTCTTGCTGCCTTGAGACCCACGCTGAGCACTGCAGTCTGCAAAGCAGAAACGGGTTTGAAATCTCTGTCCTGGTGGGTATAAGCTCAGTCACCATCCCTAATCAGAGCAAAGCCAGGCTGTGCTTCCTGGCTATGACACAAATTAAACGCTCTGTTGTCTTCTTATAGTTACATTGAGCTAGTTGCAGACATGTGGTTCTCTTCTTTATTTCCTACTATAGCGTTAAAAAGTTTAAATCAGGGATGCTAGAAATTGTTAGAGCTTAAGCTCTATAGAGACTGGAGCTTGTCAAGGAAGCAAAGTCCCTTTATAGCACCTGGGAGCTGAGCCACAAGATCCTCAGTGACACAGTGTGGGAAAAGACACCTCGGAGCATCCCTGGGGATACAGCCCAACGCCGGCTCTCCAGCCTCCCGTTTCTCCTTCACTTCCTCAGAGTTCAGTTTCTGAGCTGAAGGAGCACAGACCTTGAGGTACTTTAGCAGAATGTGACCACAAGATGTCACAGTTGCTTTGCTGAGATGCGCGGTCCGGCCCGTGTCCTGCTTCCAAGCCTTTGCCCACCGTTCTTGCGTCTCTTCTTTTCTCTCTGTAATCACACACACTGCTCATGTTTTTTATGGCAAAGGAAACTTGTTCGTTGAGTCCTGGGGAAAGTTGGGCATTGATGTTCTATCTCAATTGCAGGTTATCATTTTGGGGTATAAAGTAGGAGATATCCTAGATTTAGCCTCCCTCCGCTGTGGTCCAGCCTGCAGAGATCAATTTTGAGTTGAGCCAGAGGAAAAACCTAGGGTTGACTTTGCATATAAACACTTCTTGGTGCTGCTACTGGTCAAACAATTTCCTCACAGACTTCAGCTCCCATTTGCCAGATGATGCAGCACATTCAGAAAACACCCATCACAATGTTGTGGGCTTCTTTATAGTGTATTGCTAACTTTTTTCCTTTTTCTCTTTTTTTTTTTCTGCCCCAGAAAGCTACCTTCTTAGCCTGGATGGGGTCCCAGGGGCTGATGCCAATGTCAGTTATGTCTGAAGAACCATGAGAAAGAAGTTTAGTCTTAGAAGCAGAATCTGATGAGCTTTGCAGGATACAGCTGTGGGCATTTTGGGGAGGTGCTTTACAGTCTGCACATTGATTTAAGACCTAATTCATGGCCTGGACAAGCAATTGCTATGGATGCTCCAAACAAATAGCACTTTCTTTCATGCCCGCCTGGCTGGTGCCTCTTCCCAGCTGGAGCCAGTCAGGGTTTCTCATTGGGCACGAGGAGAAAAGCTTTGCTCTACCAGCCACACAAGAAAAATAAGAATAACTACAAAGCAGAGTTGTTGAGTGGAGCAGCAAGTGTAGGAAGGACCTTGTCTGGTACCTGCAGGAATGGCTGAGGAGGCGGGTGGAGGTTTGCTCTGCTTCCTTGTGCTCATCATTGCACATCCAACGGCTGCTGTAGCCGTGGGTCTGGCCATGTCCCCTGGGGAAGGTGCTGCTCTCCCACTGCTCACTGGACAGCACAGCCCCACGTGCTCTGTCCCCAGGGGTGGCCAGGACAGGGCTGACCTCCCGCCCTTTGCCTTTTCCTGCCCAGGGGAGCATGAGAACATCCCGTGGGCCTGGCGGTTCCCAGCCTGCAGGAGGGCTTGGCCTGGGACAGAGGATCCTGCAAGGAATGGTCTCGGCAGTGGCTGGGTGAGCTCAGTCACCTTTGCCTACAAGTCGTGGCTTAGTGCGAGAGCATCTGGCAAAGGGGCAGCTGTGGTGGGAGGCGGGGAAGGCTCCTGTAACCCCCAAGCTCCCTGCGAGGGGAAGGCAGTGGTTGTACACGCTGCTTGTTTGCCAACTGATAAGAGAAGACAGAAGCCTCTTCTCTGGAAGCATAACTAAGGAGCAGACACCACAGGCTGGTCCTCGCTTCCTGGCAAGCAGGTTTGGTGGCTGGAGCTCTGTGCCCTGCACATCCCAGGGGTCAGGTGAGTTAGTCCGATGGGGACCACATGTCCTGGCCTCGAGCTTTTCAGCAGTCTGGGAATCCTGGCTGTGGCAGGGTTTTCTCTGCAGTGGATTTGCTGGCTGCAGGGAACTGGGAAAGGTTCAAGTTTGAAGCTTCATCTTCCTCTGCTAGGAAGATGAGATGAGCCTTTAAACAGCTTATGAACCTGGCATATGAGTGCATGGATTCAGCAGGGAGCAGCAGCCTGCCAGAACAGATGAACGAGTATCAGCACATGGTTTGCTGGTTCTCACAATGCCCTTTGTGCCATGGCTGATGTCTGAAAGAGGAAAAGCTCCCCTTCTCCCTGAGAGAAGTCCTAACCTTGCTGCTCAGTGGTGGGCAGTGGGAGGAGAAGTTAGCTGGGATGAGACAGCTGATTTCCCCATAAGGGGTGGTGACACCTCACAGTCCATGTGACCCTTGTTCCATCTTCACCAGCCCATGTGTCACTGACTCATTTTTCTCAGCTACGTGTCATGAAAACAAGCTTTCCTGCAACAAGAGTAAGACCAGAAGAGGTGTAAAGCCCAAGCAGTGTTGTGCATCCCAGCTCTGTCCTGGAGTGGAGTTATTCCCTGGGTTTCACACACCAGCTTTGCCCGCTCACTTCAGGATTTGCCAACATTGCTGATCTGAGTTGCTTTAAATCATCATTTGGTTTTTTCGGAGCCTTGGCTCTTGTGCCAGTTGCTTTGGTTTCCCATCTCACATCTCCCAGGGTCTGCATGCAGGATCCTTTCCCAGAGCAATAAGACACTGGAGCATGGAGAGTTTTCAAGCAAGACTGGGGCACGTCTCTGCCACTGGGTATGTAGTGACTGCTTTAATCCATCTCCTTCCCTCTGTCTCGATAGCTGTTGAATGGCCTTTTTCCATGAAAAGCCTCCTTTGCTAGTCAAAATTGTCCCCCAAAGGATAACTGAGGCTGCTGTCAGGCAGGGGGAGACAGGGATTGCCTGGCTGGGTTTAATCCTGGAGAGAGACTCATTCTCCCCCCAGGTTTTCTGGTCTCTGGAGAATCACTCCAGATGTGAGGCCTGAGAAATGATATTTCTTCCCAAACGCTTGTTTTCATTAGACATTTAAATAGCTTTATGGGACATTTCATCCTGTCTGCAGTGACCAAATTAGTATCCTTGGAGATTTCCTCTGGCACTGGAGCTTCAGTGTGAAACTGTTCTCTCTGATCAGTTCTGTATTTGTCACCAGTAAACCTGAAGATTTTGGCTTGGTCTCCTTTTAAGAGACATGGAAATCAGAAACTGCCACTCAACTGCCTCTTATCCATTGAATACCTTGTAATTACAGAGCTGGTTGAATGATTTCCACAGCAGCCAGAAGCCTTCTGCTTCCTCTAAATAACAACTAAAGCCATTCTGCACAACTGGCAGTGAGCTGACCTCTCTGAATGACTTTATTATGATTTTTATAAAATAATACAATGATTTCCTGTGCTTTCATTAGAGGAGGAGCAGCTACGTTGTGCTCGGTGTACCAAGAAATACTTTGAACTCCCCTGTCCTGCATGCTTTGAGGGAATATCTCTATCCCAGCTACTCAGGTTAGCAGAGAAATAGATTGAGACCAGAGGCACCTGAAGAAGGAAATTGTAAAGGTCCGTGTGTGATCATCTTGAAAAAGCCCCTAATAATGTGTTTCCATTCTTCCTCTGCTGAGACCCAGTCTTGTTCATTTTGCAGCATGAGAGCCCGTGTCTACTGTGAAGACTTTCTGTTCCCAAGGGTGCGCAGGACTGTGGCAGACCTATGGTCAGTTTACTCCAAGCCTGTCCCAGCAAATGGCAGAGAGGTGTGGACCTTGTTTCTGCAGTGTTCCTGCATTACAGCAGTGATAGGAGGCCTCTTTTATAACTGGATGTTTGCTTCCCTGGAGTACTCCTGGCATCTCTCCATTGCAATGGCCATCTCCTTCAGTCTGCTCCTTCTCCTGACCCTTTTTTTGGTGCATCCTGCACGTTGTGTCTTCAGCATCATCATGCCTACGTTAGGTACCAAACAAGGCCGGAAGCTTCTCTTGTCAACCTGCGTTATGATAGTAGTGGTTAACATAACACCCAACATCATAAGCAACATTAAGACCATATTGCAAGTTATTAAGTGCATCTGCAAGAATTCCTCTGAGAGTCTTTTGAACTCAACTGCTCTGCTAGAGACAGTTACCTCGGAGTTTGGGGATGCAATCCAAGAAACAGTTCATTCCATTAATATCTATAAGCCTATGAATGGACATTTTCAGTTTTCATTGCTTAAGAACAGCTCCTTGATTTACCAAAAAATGCATCTTGCTGGTGAGAAAATTGGGAGGGACTTTTTGGCTGTTGAGTTACTGGTCAAAGATGCTGTACGAGTAGGCAACAAGGTGGTTGCTGGCTTCTCCATGCTCTATCTCTGTTTTGAGTCCGCCTGCTATTTGAAAAATTATCTCACCAACCTCCACTTTGACAATTTTTACATCACCAAGAAGCTGGAACATTTAGCTGTGGACAGAAAAGCAGCTCATCTGCTGGTGAGCTCATCCAAAACCCTCATTCGACCAACAGGCTTGAAACTGTCCCGGGAAGAAGTGATGCTGTGCCTTGTGCAAGCCGTGCTCCTCACTGTGGCCCTGATGCTGATGCTGGTGGTCGTGGCCATGGACCACTTCGCATTCAGCATTGGAGACACTGCAGTGAGAAAGGCATCTCAGTTCTCTGTGGTGCCTGTTGCTCTTAGCATCAAATACAGTGTAAGTGCTGAGGTCCCTTGTCCTTCCCTGTACTGGGACCCTGCTGTGTATCACATCGTGTGAGGAAGTAGTGGAGATTGTAGTCTTTGTGGCCTTATTTGCACAATCCTTACTTCCCTTCCCAGAAGCCAGCTGGACTGGCAATGTGACAGACTTGGTGGGAGGAGGTGGAGGCATAACCTCAGTTGTTCCTTCCAGTGCATCAAACAGTAGCTCCAAATTACAGCCCCTCAGGAGCAAGGAGAGGAGCAAATTGTGCCTCATGCTGCAAAGACACTACTAGCATGGGGCAGTCAGATATACTCTTTATCTCTTATCTCTACATCACTTCCCTAGGCAGGGTGGGGGAGTGGGTGACCCTGTAGCACCATTGTCCCCATCGCAGAGTGGGTGTAAGGAATAGGGAAGCAGACCAAATACACCTCTGGGTTGTGAGGATGTCTCCTTATCAAACTGCACTAACTGATCTTCAAAGAGATAGCTCTTCTCACTGGCTTTGTTGTCACCCTGTGCAATCCTTTTCAGAAACCTACCCAGTTTCTATCTATTTTAATATCCTTTAGCTAGACTGGTTCTGGTTTAGTTTGTTAGCTTTCCTCTTCCACTATGCAGCCTGCCTCCATCCCCAGCCCCAGGGTTCCATAGTGCAGATACCTGCTTATGATGAATTTACAGTAAAATAATCAGGGCTTAGAAAAAAACCCCTCTAATATTCAAATATGCAGCCACTAATCCTGCTGTTTGGATTGTGTCTTTCATTGTAAATCTCACACAATGAATACCTGTAACAGCAGATAAAAGATGACAGGTAGGACTGGGTCTCACCATGCCAAGTACTTAGCACCTACACATCAGGCTGTTACTCTCATTCAGCCTGAAGTATATAAGCACTCCAATGTCCTTCTCTTAATACACCCAAACAAGCTGTAACTGTAATTACACCCCCCCAGGCTGATGTTCTTGTAGTAACCAGTTTTTTGGGTTTTGTTCATACCCCATTTAACTTTTAACTCTCTATTTCAGGCTAAAATAGGATTCGTGCCCTTTCTTTCAAAAATTCCAGGCATTCCTTACCAAGAAACACCACTTCAGGACTTTGAAAGAAGCTACCACCATTACCTGATCTTCAGCTCTGCCCATTGCAGGATCAGCCCCCCAACACCTCCCAACACCTCTGTGCTGATCGTCATGGGGCTGCTCTTCTGCATCCTCTACACCACCATATTCCTGGAAACCTACGCGCGTCGCCTGTGCAGAACAATTGTAGCCTCCTTCTTTGAGAGCTGGGAGGAGAAGCGGGTGCTTCACCTCTACAAGAAGCTGTGCAGGAAGCACCAGGAGGACCAAAACTGTGAGAGAAACTAAGGATACTTTTGGGAACACAGGGGATGCCTGAGAACTGTGGCAGTGGCAGGACACAGGCTTCTGCCATGGGATTATGCATTTAAATTCCCAGAGTCAGAGAAGTGTTTGGAATCTGGGGAAAAATGTTTGCCAAAAAATAAGTGAAATGTCACATTTTGAATTAATTTTAGAAAAATGGACTCAATAATTTACTTTTTTATTTTAATCTAGAAGGTCTGGAGTCAGCTGTTCCAAAAAATTAAAATAAAATATAAATAAAGTAGTTAGAGAACCTCAGAAGAGGATGAGACCAGCCAAAGGAGGCCAGTTTGGGTGTTGGTCAGTTTCCCAAGTGAAAAATGATAGGATGAGAGGAAATGGCTCATGTTGTGCCAGGGGTTGTTTAGATTGGAAATAATTTCTTCAATGAAAGGGTTGTCGAGCATTGGAACAGGCTGCCCAGGGAAATGGTGGAATCAGTGTCACTGGAGGTGTTCAAAAGACATGTAGATGTGGCACTGAGGGACATGGTTAGTGGTGGACTTGGCAGTGCTGGGTTAACGGTTGGACTTTTCCAACCTAGAAGAATTTAGGCCAACATTCTGGATGACATCAAAAGTGGTAGATAGAAACTTGACGTTTGAGTTGGTGCTCTGCAAGGAACAGGGAAGTAGCAGGACATGGAGGGCTGGACTTGCCTGAACCAAGGTCTGGTTTTTCATGTTAGGTTGTTTCACACTCAGAAGTTGTGGTATTGTATCCAAGATGTAAGAATCATCACTGAAACATGTTACTTTTGCATGAGAAGCAGATCGGACACCTCTGTAAGGGCAAGAGCCAGAGGAGGGGGAGATAGATCAGTGCCAGGTTAAAAACAAAGCAACTTTGCAGCTTCATTTCTTCTCTATTATTTTCCTCTCTTCTCCCATTAGAGTCTTCATTAAGGTAATTATTTGACATAATGCATCTCAGTGAGATGAAATTACAGAAGTGAAGTGGCAGCTGCAGCCAGATGCACCGAATTCTCTCAGCTTCTGAGGTACTTGAAACAAAGTAGGTCTGGATTATATATATATATTTTAAGCATCCCTCTAACAAAACCCTGGTGCATTCATCTCCCCAGGTTTCTTAATTCCTTGCTGTTCTGATGATTAATCAAGCACCTTTCTGCCTCTACAGCATCTAGGGAGCTTTGTCATGGGGTTTCTCTAGAAAATGCCCTGTGCTCTTCTGTTTGGAGAAAGCAGAAAGATTTCCACGTGCCCACTGAGTAGCCAAAATTGTCTGGACCCAGGGGTTAAAATAGCTGGGAAGAGAACAGAGGAGCCTCTTCAGCCAGGAAACCATCCCAGCAGCACGTTGCCTTCCAACAAGCACATCTTTAAAAGAAGTTTTTCCTTGAGAAGTCTTACATTTTGGGCAAGAGATGTGCATTAATCTTTGAGAAATATTGGGGTTGTTTTATGACCAGCAGCATTTTGGAAACACTCCACCCAAGCCGTGTCCAGTTCCTCTCCCTGCCTTCTGGGGGAGGCCTTCAGAGGAGACTGGGACACTGGGAGAGGAGGCTGAAACAGTGAAGTGCTGCGGACAAGCACAGGGATGGGCTTTGTTTTAGAGAGAGGCCCTCCAGGTTCAGATGAGGGTTTGGAGTGGTTGAAATGGACTGACAAAGTACGACCCTGAGTGTCCTACTGCATCCTTTGGACAGGCACTGCCCAGCTCCAGCCAGGGCAGCAGAGCAGTGTGTGAGGCAGCTCCTGAAACCCTTTTCAGCCTCAAAAATCGTATTTCTTAGGAAAACATGACCCTCATCCAGAGCAGTTCTCCCTGTCTTCTCTAGAGTTTCCTTCAGCTCCCACTGCATTTTAACTGCTAAAGACTAATCCTGGGAACTTTGCACTTCTAGACTGTAAAATTCAGCATCAGACAAGCCTTGATTAGTGTAATTACATCTGCTCAAGAGGATAATAATCAGTGTGAGGTGTTGCTGCTCTGCCTCTGGCCCCAGAGTTGCAGCCTTTATAACCCTTCATGAGGTAGAGATGTGCTCCCATTTCCACTTTGCAGAAGAGACTAAGAATGAGATTTTACAAAGTTCTTTTTGGTGGTTATCACACCAGGTTCACTGACAGGGAACCATGGGCAGCAGAGCCCTTGTTGCCAGCCTGCATCTAGGGCTCAGTTCTCCTGCCATAAGAGGCAATGGATTGTGCCCCAGGTCTTGTTATTTTAGGGGTGAAGTTGCACTGATGTTAGTACATGTGCATGCTGAAGGCTGATGTACTTGAAAATCACCGAGAAATCAATGCCCACGAAAAGGTGTTAACACGAGAGTACTGGTGCTTGAGTTGTCATCAAATACAGGTATGTACCATACAGTCAATTCATCTGCTATGAGGAGAAAGGGGAGGTTGAAAGCTGCCTCTTTGCCATTATTCCACTTAACCCAGAGCCCAGATTTTCATGTGAGAAACTAAACCCAGTGGGAGACTCATGGAAGAAGAAGTCAGATGTGTCACTTTTCACATCCAGCACAGCATCATGTCTTGCTGGGATGGCAAAGGCTCAGCTTTGGTTACTCAAACCAGTTTCCTCTTACAACCATCAGTTTCTGCACTGAGTGGGAGACACTGGAAAGACGAGGACTCTCAGGGCTTCCCCTTCATTGTACTGCCCTGAAAGCCAACACCTCCACCTGCTCCTCTGGCTTTTGGCTCACCCGGGCAGAAATGCTACTGGATTGGGCACACTGGAGCAGGCAGCAGAGCTTATTGGCAGCACAAAGAGTTGTGAACCCTAACTCAAACCTGTGGGTGATGTCTTGAGCCCTGGGGGGGGGGCCATGGGGTGTACAGGTGATGCCACGGGTGCTGGGCTTGGCTGGAGGGGATGGAGCACTTTGGGCTTCTTCTCCCATGGCTGAATTGCTTTCAGGCACCTGCAGCCAGCCTGGAGCCAGGGAAGGGGATTCTTTGGCACACAGGATGACTATGTTTGTTTTCATAGGGTTTGTAAAGACACACTGTGCCCCATGCTCACTTGGCTTCACTCAATGCTTGCAGCAGTAAGGGTTTAAGAGTGAGGGGAAAGTAGTGTCCCTAGAGCTGCACAAAGCTTCCTTTCCTATGCTGTTATTCTCTGCAGAGCTGCATAAATCCCCAGCAATCTGGTTCATTTTATTAAATGGGTCCAATGCATGTTACTGCGGAATGAGTTTCTATTACTATTCAGGCTGCGTATCTAAGAGCTCAACCCTTCCAAGAGCTACTGGAACAAAGTCTGAAGGGTGTACCTATTAAAATGTTAATAGGGACAGTCCACAAATAAGGTATACTCAAATGATGACTTAATTTGGGATTCTTCTGGCTTTACAAGGCAGCTGCTGGATGTGAGGGACTGAGCCAGTGGCGCAGGGAGGCAACATCCATCACACCTACTTACAGCTCCAAAGAAGAGCAGCCTAATTCCTCCCTTTTTATTAAGAATTTAGCCCTGTGACCCAAGGCTGACTTCCTCACACTCTTGTGCATCAGCGACCAACTGCTGCATTGGTCCTTCTGTGCAGTATTTTGTTTATTAAGTATGTGAAACCACAGAGGTATCTTCTTTACATAGGACTAAATGAGCTGCCCAGCGAGGCTGAGTGAGAGGGATGGGCTGCACGAGGAGCACAGGGCAATATTGAAGATGACATTGAACTTGCTGAGCACCCAGCCTGGGCACAGCGCTGCTAACCCAGCACAGGGCTGCATGGCCATCCCTTCCCAAAAAGCATGTGGTGGATGTCATCAGACTGCTCTTTACGTGGAGGGAGGTGATGGGTGTTTCTGTAACGGGCTGGAACGTCTGTGCCTGTGAGCACTTGGGTGGCCAGCTCCTTGTGAGAGGCTGCAGGATGACACAGAGAGAGAAGCAGGGGAATTCGGGTTGTCGGGATGACTAAAGGGGTCACTGCCTGGCTCCTGAAGAGGTGGGTGCCAGCTCAAGCAGGTGAATGCAGCCTAAGTAGTATCATTAAATAGCTGCTATTTCTAGAGGGATTTTAAAGTGAAAACGGGGAAGTTAAAGCAAAGTGCAGCCTGGGGAGGTCTTCAAGGGCAGGGACAGGACTTGTTGTCTGTCCCCAGCTCAGGGCTGTAGGGCAGAGCTGCAAGGCTGGCCCTGGTGCAGGCTGCCAGTGGACCCCTATGGAAAGCAAATGGGAAGAGAAGAAGAGAATATTGTCCCTTATAACTGACCCAAAGGTGAGTGAAACACTACTGGGATTATCCTTTCTGGAGTTAAATGGAGGCATAAGGTTTCCCAGAGAAAAGGGGAAAGTATTATTTGCCTGGGCTGAGGCAAAAAGCATTTTATCCACCCAGGTTTCTACAGCCCAGGTTTAAAAATGTTCTGGTGAAAGGCTGGACTTGAACCACTCTGCGTCAGGACGATGCTTCACGTTTTGGATATGTGCCTCAGTGTCTGGGATTAATGGGACACCTCTGCCTCTAGCTGAAATCTAACCCAATGAAAGGGCAAGTTTTCCTCTTGTCCTTTCCTCCAGTCCACAGGTTAGGGGATCCTTAGCATTTTACCTCTGCAAACAAAATTGCGCTTTCAATTTGAAAATGCTTTTTCTCACAGACTATGGAAATGCCAGAGGCAAGCATGGAGCTGGCAGCAAATTCTGGCTACTGCTGACAGGTTGATACTGGATCTCCCAGTCCGACCACTGGATAGATATTGGATCTCCTAGTCGGACCGTCAGGAAAATACTAGATATCCCAGCCTCACTGTTGGTAAGATACAGGATCTCCCAGCTCCGACTGGGTAAGCCTTTCCCCAAAGAAATGACACTGATGTGTGTCTGGGAGAGGGGTGGCTGCAGGGAAGGCAGCATGAAGAGGTCACTGCCTCATGTTTATTGTCCCGCAGGGAAGGTAATCCTCTGCCCCAGCCCAAGGGAAACAGGAACAACTATGAGTCTCTGTGGTATCATCCTGGCCCCATCCTCCTGAGAATGAGGAAGGAAGGAC